TCAAAAAGGGGGGGGGGAAAAAAAAAAAAAAGAAAAAACAAACTGCTGGATCTTGTAGTGGCTGCTATATTCTGTCACGGAATGCCAAGAGAGACAAGGTAAGAAACCAGGTGCAGTTTATTGAAAGTAACAAAAAATCAAAATGGAACAAAAACATGACAAAAGGTAATCCAAAGCACAAGAAACAGAATAACACGGTGAACTCCAGATAACATCAAGACATGGGAAGACAAATACAATATAGCAGCAGTGACAGACAGAGTGAGCACGGTATATATAGATGGGATAATGAGTAAATGGTGAAACACAGGTGAAAATGATCGGAACTGATAACCAGGTGCTCATGATCAGACAGAATGACAAGCAAGGGACTATGGGAAATGGAGTTCAACACATAACATAAAAACGGGAGAGTGCCCTCAAGTGGCCAGGCCAGGGCACCACAACCAGACACTGTGGCATTACCCCCCCTCTACGGAGCGGATACCAGATGCTCCACCAGAAAACATAAAAGTTCAGGAGGGAGGTGGAACTGAGGCGGACCAGGGGGAGGGATGGCGAGCCAGGACCATGCCAAGGAAGGGGGTCAGGGAACAGAGGTAGACCAGGGTCTAAGAGAGGAACCAGCAGGGTGGAAAGCCAAGGCGGGGCTGGCAGGACGAACCACCAGGGCCCCAACCATACAGGAACCCCAGCAGATAGCCAGGACGGAGCTGGAGGAATGAGCCAGTGAGGCTCCAGCCAAACCAGGACCCAGGAGGGCAACCAGAGCGGAATCCTGTCAGGCAACACTGGTGGGACAGAAAACCCTCTCCGCAACTCAGGAGAAACTGAAGACAAGAGCAGAGAGAGTTTAGTAACAGCATCAACGGCTGCAACAGGACAAGCCGATTGCTCCGCAACGGTTCCCGTTAGCTCCCGGACTGGAGCGGGCTCTGGAGCGGGATCTGTGAGCTCCCGGACTGGAGCGGGCTCTGGAGTGGGCTCTCTGAGCTCCCGGACTGGAGTGGGCTCTGGAGTGGGCTTTCCTGTCTTCCTTCTCACCCTCCGCCGCTTAGTGGGAGTCTGAAGGATAGGGGTGGTAGGAAAATCCCTGCGTAAGGGTTCTGACTGGCCTGGTTCTGCCCACTGACTTCGACCCTAGAGATATTTGACAAAGCCCCAGAAGTTTAGGATCTCGAGTCCTTTCATCTCCCACTGGGGCAAAGGATCATCCAGACAGACGTTAAGGAGGTCCTTAAATGTAGCCTCATTATAATTTAGGCCCACCGCCAACGTCCAAAAGGTCTGGGCAAAACCACCAACCTCCATTCCCTCCTGCCTCCAAGCCATCAGAGTCCGGTGTTGGATCATTTGCTCCTTTCCTGTGGCAGGAGGGACGATCCAAAGGTCCATGGTTCAAAAATGGGGGGGAAAAAAAGAAAAAAACAAACTGCTGGATCTTGTAGTGGCTGCTATATTCTGTCACGGAATGCCAAGAGAGACAAGGGAAGAATCCAGGTGCAGTTTATTGAAAGTAACAAATAATCAAAACAGAACAAAAACGTGGCAAAAGGTAATCCAAAACATAGGGAACAGATAACACGATGAAACTAGACAACTACGAATTCAGAAGACAAATACAATATAGCAGCAGTGACAGACAGAGTGAGCATGGTATATATAGATGGGATAAAGAGTAAATGAGTAACAGGTGAAAATGATTGGAACTGATAACCAGGTGCTCATGATCAGACAGAATGAAAAGCAAGAGACTATGGTTAATGGAGTTCAACACATATAACATAAAAACGGGAGAGTGCCCTCAAGTGGCCAGTCCAGGGCACCACAACCAGACACTGTGGCAATCTCGTTTTTATGAGAAAAGATGACGTTTTAACGAGAAAAGATGATGTTAAAACGAGAAAAGATGTAGTTAAAACGACATAACATCTCGCTATTACGACATAATTGAGTGGGAAAAAAATATGTGTGTGGCAGCAATGCGTCACCGCGGACATCCGCCTGCAGCATAGTTGAGAAACCAGTGTTGTGGTGGTTTCTGTCCCATGATGCATATTTTAAAGAAGAAATTAAACCAGTGGTTTAGTGGTGTAGCCTACTTAGTATCTTACGGCAGCTACTTTGAAATATAGTGTCATAACCAGCAGCCATATCACCCTGTAGCCCAAGACTGGTTGCCCACTGAAGCTAAGCAGGGCTGAGCCTGGTCAGTACCTGGATGGGAGACCTCCTGAGAAAACTAGGTTGCTGCTGGAAGAGGTGTTAGTGAGGCCAGCAGGGGCTGCTCAGCCTGCAGTCTGTGTGGGTCCTAACGCCCCAGTATAGTGACGGGGACACTATACTGTAAAAAGCACCATCCTCTGGATGATACGTTAAACCGAGGCCCTGACTCTCTGTGGTCATTAAAAATCCCAAGATGTCCTTCGAAAAAGAGAAGGGGTATAACCCCGGTATCCTGGCCAAATTTGCCCATTGGCCTCTGACCATCATGACCTCCTAATCATCCCCATACACTGATTGGCTTCATCACTCTGTCTCCTCTCCACCAATAAGCTGGTGTGTGGTGGGTGTTCTGGCGCGCTATGGCTGCCGTCGCATCATCCAGGTGGATGCTGCACACTGGTGGTGGTTGAGGAGATTCCCCGCTTTCATGTAAAAGCGCTTTGAGTACCCAGAAGAGCGCTATATAAATGTAACTAATTAATTATTAATCATAACATGTTCAATATTTTTATTATTTATATTTTGATATATTGATGTAATGATGTTCAATCGCAATTGCATCCAATGGTCTTATATTTTGTCATTTCTACTTTGTGTATATCAGTTCACTCATTCGAAGTAAAGGCCCGTTCACGCCATGTAAGATAACTAAAATGATAAGCTGCCAACTCTCATGAATTTAGTGTGAGACTCATGCAATTGATTTTTCTTATGCCATTTTCTCACAAAGTGAAAAAAAATATTGCAGAGCAAAGAGGACACTGACAACCGCCGACAGACCAGACAGAGCAGGCAGCACCATGCAGCAGTGAGTTATTCTGACTAATCAGGAGGAGATACACAACTCTATGAAACTTTTTTTCCCATTTATTTGTTATTTGTCTTTCTGCATTGCAGCTGTTATTTTACAAAATTTAATTTTACAATTTTAATTTTTTTAACATTCAAAACGTTTTTTTAATGTTTTCAAATGTTTACATTTTTTGTTATAAGAAAGCATTCCAATTTAAAATGTTGCAAACACTATGGGAACGTTATGGGAATGTTCTGAAACAAGTAGTGACATTTAAAATATGTTAGATGAACGTCCAACTAAAACAACTCAAAAATTAAACATTTCATAAACATTTTGGGCTAATATTTTGTACTAGTGACACACTTTTCCCCATTTTTGTCCTATATATAATCAGTTAAACTGATTATATTGTTGGCCAATATCTTTAAAATTTTGTATTTGTACCAGGATTCTTAATTTTCATTATCCTATTATTTGTTTTTGTTGTTGTTGTTTTTTGTTGCTTTTTAGGGAAAGACCTTCTATAAGAATGTGCTACTGTGAGAGCAAAAATCCTTAAGGAAATTACCATTAAATGCAGGAAACATGAATCTTTGTGGTTTTACTCACAATAAAGTTTAAACAGAAATCAGCATAACAAAATTAACTTTTGCATATTTGGATTCATATATAATATTCATTAGCCTATACTTGAACACACAGTCATGCATCAAACATACATTTTGTAGTTGCTAGACAAGGACATACTGGATTAGATCCAGGTTTATTATTTAGGGACCAGTTTTCAACATATCTAACATTTCAGTTTGGTTTCCATGTCCTGCTCATCCTTTTGCATCTGCCTTAAAGTCCAGATGATCCTCAGCAAAAGCCGTCTCCAGCACCAGCAGCAGAGACTGTTTGAGCTTCTTCTTATACTCATCACACATGAACACATAGAGAATGGTGTTCAGACAGCTGTTTAAACAAACCAGGTAGATACTGACAATCTTAAATATGTCAAGTCAAGTCAAGTCACCTTTATTTATATAGCGCGTTTAACAATACAGATTGTGACAAAGCAACTGAACAGCATTAATTAGGAAAATAGTGTCAATAATGCAAAATGACAATAGTAAACACTAATTTTTCAGTTAAAGACAGTTCATCATTGAATTCAGTGATGTCAACATACACATACAAGAAGGGATTCAGGCAGCTGTTCAAGTAGGCAAGGCTGACTATGAAGAGCCCCATCTGGTCGAAAACATTCTGGAAGCTGGTCAGCTCATCTGATGTGTCTGCATAATACATTTCATACAATCACACTTTAAGAAATTTGTAAAAATAAAAGGGAAGCCAGCAGAAGAAGAAGGCCAGGATTACTGCTAGGATAATACGGAGGGGTTTTAGTTTATTGTCTTTCCTGAGGCGCTTAACTCGTACTCCGATTGCCATGTAGGAAGCCAAAATTATGACGAACGGGATGAGGAAACCCACCAAAAAACGGAACACTAACACCCTCTTGTAGGCTTCCAGACTTGAAAAGCCAGGTATGCACAGGGTTTGTTGCAGAGAATTGGAATGTGTTTTCCGAAAGATGACTAAAGGTAGACTGCAGCCAACCAAATAAACAGGCAAATTATCTTCGCTTTCAGGACGGTTCGTTTGGTCCGGGCCCACACCATCACCCGGGTAGACAGGCAACGGTCCAGACTGATCGCTGTTAGCAGGAAAGTGCTGGCAAACATATTCAGCACAGTCACCAGGCTACTCAACATGCAAATAAAGTCACCAAAAGGCCAGTCTGAATTGCAGTATTCATAAATTATAGTAAAGATCAGGAAAAAAAATAGGAAGTCGGCTACCGCCAGGTTCAGAAACCAAATGGTATTGACGGTCCTTTTCATTTTGAGGCCTGCGATGTAGATGACCATTCCATTGCCAGCAACACCAAGCACACATATTATGCAGTGCAGGAAAACATTGATGTTCTTTAAGTATTTCACTGTGGCATCTGTGCTGTTGGTTGATGGGGCTACGGTTTGGTCTAAAGTAAAAAGAAAAAAATAGATAGCAAGAAATTGGTCAGTCCAAAGATGAAAGCCAATGAACAACAACCAACAACTGAAAGGTGAAATAGAGCTACTTAAATACAGGGCAAATTAGAAAACTAATAACAAAACATCCATGACAACTAATACGTGGTGGGAAATTAGAACAAAGGACAATAGAAACTTATGAAAACAAACTAGAAGTCCAAGAAGCTAAGACAAAATAACTGAAAGTCTGTGACAGAAACACAAAGGAAGTAGGCCTATGCATATTTGTTGTTTATCTTGATACTTCACTAGAATATTTCGCAATGTTGTTCAATGAAACTGCTGTCATTTTAGTAGGAACAACAGCTGTACTTACCCATTTTGACTTTATTTGTTGAAGAGGCTAAAAAAAAATACACAAAATAATTAATAACGAAAATCCATAAATCAATATCTGTAACTGAGCATTATCAAAATTTCAAGTTAATTTGAATGATTTTCAAAATACACAAGGTGCTTTGGTTGATGGTTAAGGGCTGTTAAAGGCCCAAAATCAATTTCATTCATTTGGACAGCATCAAGGAAATAAATGTGAGGGGAAAAAACAAAGCAAGAAATGAACTAAACTAACCCTTAAAAAAACTCAAATAAAAAATGGAAATGAATAAGAAGATATTGCAAGAAATGTTAAACCTGCTCAACATTTAAACTAAAAAGAGCTTTAAGTAAAAAGGTCAATCACCTTACCAGTTTTCTGTGTTGTACTGCGAGGTGATTGGAAACTGGTATGGTCCATATCACTTGGTTAAATATAATTTTATTAGTAAGAGAGGATGACTTATCACATTGACAGGAAACTCAGAAATCAATTGCATAAGAACTACTCTCTGAAGTTTTTCCAAAGTCACTGAAAATCTGATGATGTTTTGGGTCATATTTATGAAGAAGTATAGAAAATATAATAATATATAATCACATACATACATATATTTGAGGTGTAATGGTACACAAGCATGACGGTTCGGGTACCTGGTTTCGGTACAAAAGGGGGGGAAAAAATAAACAAATTTGCTTTTTTTTTTTTTATTGCATTTTAACTATATCTAAAAATGCTAAAAACTATATCTAAAACCCTGAACTGCTTTTTCCTTTTAAGTTATTTGACTCATACTGCAAAAGCTATATATGAAGACACAATGATTAGGAAGGGGATGAGAAAACCCACCATAAATGCAAATATGACCAGAAGTTTCAGGGTTTTTATGTTGATGGTAACCTCAAAGGTTATTAAGGCAAAATGAAGACTGCAATGAGTGGATAAAATCCACACAATCGTACAAATGATCCTGGCTTTGGGTAGAGTTCTATTGTTTTTAGCCCACACAATCACCAATGTGCACAGGCATCAGTCCAGACTGATTACAGTCAGAAAAAAAATGCTTGCAAACATAATTAGCTGCATCACATAGCAAAGAAACCTGCAAATGAAATCGTTCATGTGGTGTTTTGTGATGTTTAGGACTGGGGAAAAGATGAAGGAGAAGTCTGCAAACACCAAGTGGAGAAACCAAATGGAGTTGACCGACGTCTTCATTTTATAAGCAGTCACAAGTATGACAAGCCCATTTCCAATGAGACCCAGTATAAAGATGGCAACGTAAAGGCATGCACACAAGGGCAGAAGTGTGTTAGAAATATGGTTCATGATTTTGCTTAATCTGTTTATTAAACTTTTACAATAACAACAGGATACAAATACAAGAAAATATTGGTTCATGACTTTGATGATAGTTTCCACATCTCCCAAGCACACTATACAAAGAGAGAAAATGCAGCAAACGCACAAACTACCAAAAATACATGGACTTATAGCTACTTCAACACAAGGTTGGATAGTAGTGGATACACTACACAAGATTGGATACAGTCATTACAAATTTAAATATCACACTGAAAATATTGGATATGTAAATAATAATAATAATAATAATTTATATAATTTTTTTAATCTCACAAAGTGATGCTCCCACTAGACAGCATTTTCACATTTATGCTGTAATTAATTGCTAAATGTTAAGTGGTGTTTAAGGAATATTGCAGATCGATTCTTACTGATTTCTTGAGGTTTGTTTTTAATCCACAGTAGCATATTTGCATGTTCCTTCCTAACTCCAGCATTCATGAGGTGCATCTGAACGAGACAAGTGTTTCTGTGCAACCTTCTTTTTCCATGTCCAGCTTTAGCTTTTATACACCAGCCAAGCTTTACATCTCTATAGACTGATTTGTTGTTGTTTACTGATAAGGGCCTAAAATGTGGCGTCATCAGCAAACTTGATGTTACTGCAACTATCAGGCATCATCACAGGGGGAAGTGGGCATCCGCCTGCAGCATATAGTTGAGAAACCAGTGTTGTGGTGGTTTCTGTCCCATGATGCATATTTTAAAGAAGAAATTAAACCAGTGGTTTAGTGGTGTAGCCTACTTAGTATCTTACGACAGCTACTTTGAAACATGGTTTCATAAGCAGCAGCCATATCACCCTGTAGCCCAAGACTGGTTGCCCACTGAAGCTAAGCAGGGCTGTGCCTGGTCAGTAGCAGGATGGGAGACCTCCTGAGAAAACTAGGTTGCTGCTGGAAGAGGTGTGGTAGGTGTGACAGGGACACTATACAGTAAAAAGCGCCATCCTCTGGATGATACTATAAACCGAGATCCTGACTCTCTGTGGTCATTAAAAATCCCAGGATGTCTTTCAAAAAAGAGTAGGGGTTTAACCCAGGCATCCACTAAATTTGCCCATTGGCCTCTGAACATCATGGCCTCCTAATCATCCCCATACACTGATTGGCTTCATCAAAGTGTCAAAGACTGGGTCAGACTTGGTCCCGTTCCACTCTGGGAATGAGATTTGCATTGGGATTGGGAATGTTGCGAGAGGAGAGCCAGGTGTTCCTCTGCGAACGTGCTCTCGAACACCATCACCAAAGATTGCTTGAGCTTTTTCTGAAACTCTTCACACATGAACACGTAGAAGAAGGGATTCAGGCAGCTGTTCAAGTAGGCAAGGCTGACTATGAAGAGTCCCATCTGGTCGAAAACATTCTGGAAGCTGGTCAGCTCATCTGATGTGTCTGCATCATACATTTCATACAACCACACTTCGAGGAATTTGTAAATATAAAAGGGAAGCCAGCAGAAGAAGAAGGCCAGGATTACTGCTAGGATAATACGGAGGGGTTTTAGTTTATTGTCTTTCCTGAGGCGCTTAACTCGTACTCCGATTGTCATGTAGGAAGCCAAAATTATGACGAACGGGATGAGGAAACCCACCAAAAAACGGAACACTAACACCCTCTTGTAGGCTTCCAGACTTGAAAAGCCAGGTATGCACAGGGTTTGCTGCGGAGAATTGGAATGTGTTTTCCGAAAGATGACTAAAGGTAGACTGCAGGCAACTGCAGCTAACCAAATAAACAGGCAAATTATCTTCGCTTTCAGGACGGTTCGTTTGGTCCGGGCCCACACCACCACCCAGGTGGACAGGCAACGGTCCAGACTGATCGCTGTCAGCAGGAAAGTGCTGGCAAACATATTCAGCACAGTCACCAGGCTACTCAACATGCAAATAAAGTCACCAAAAGGCCAGTCTGAATCGCGGTATTTATAAATTATAGTAAAGATCAGGGACAAAAATAGGAAGTCGGCTACCACCAGGTTCAGAAACCAAATGGTATTGACGGTCCTTTTCATTTTGAGGCCTGCGATGTAGATGACCATTCCATTGCCAGCAACACCAAGCACACATATTATGCAGTGCAGGAAAACATTGATGTTCTTTAAGTATAATACAAAATATCCATGACAACTAATACGTGGTGGGAAATTAGAACAAAGGACAATAGAAACTTATGAAAACAAACTAGAAGTCCATGAAACAAGAAGCTAAGACAAAATAACTGAAAGTCTGTGACAGAAATACAAAGGAAGTAGGCCTATGCATATTCGTTGTTTATCTCGATATTTCACTAGAAATGTGGAGGATTGCAAAAGAATATTTCGCAATGTTGTTCAATGAAACTGCTGTCATTTTAGTAGGAAAAACAGCTGTACTTACCCATTTTGACTTTATTTGTTGAAGAGGCTAAGAAAATATGCACAAAATAATTAATAACGAAAATCCATAAATCAATATCTGTAACTGAGCATTATCAAAATTTCAAGTTAATTCGAATGATTTTCAAAATACATAAGGTGCTTTGGGTGATGGTTAAGGGCTGTTAAAGGCCCAAATCAATTTCATTCATTTGGAAAGCATCAAGGAAATAAATGTGAGGGGAAAAAACAAAGCAAGAAATGAACTAAACTAACCCTTAAAAAAACTCAAATAAAAAATGGAAATGAATAAGAAGATATTGCAAGAAATGTTAAACCTGCTCAACATTTAAACTAAAAAGAGCTTTAAGTAAAAAGGTCAATCACCTTACCAGTTTTCTGTGTTGTACTGCGAGGTGATTGGAAACTGGTCTGGTCCATATCACTTGGTTAAATATATTTTTATTAGTAAGAGAGGATGACTTATCACATTGACAGGAAACTCAGAAATCAATTGCATAAGAACTACTCTCTGAAGTTTTTCCAAAGTCACTGAAAATCTGATGATGTTTTGGGTCATATTTATGAAGAAGTATAGAAAATTCTAGAAAATATAATCACATACATACATACATACATACTTATATTTGAGGTGTAATGGTACACAAGCATGACGGTTCGGTACCTGGTTTCGGTACAAAAGGGGGGAAAAAATAAACAAATTTGCTTTTTTTTCCTTCTTTTTATTGCATTTTAACTATATCTAAAAAATGCTGCCCTGTTGAAAAAAAAACACATATGCTGGTTAGGTATGTTTTGATGCTGGTTTGAGCTGGTTTAAGCTGGTCCTTTGCTGGTTTATGCTGGTTTAAACTGGTCCTTAGATGGTCATGTGCTGGTCCTAAGCTGGTTGGACCAGTTTAGGACCCGCACATGACCAGCTAAGGACCAGCATAAACCAGCAAAGGACCATCTTAAACCAGCTCAAACCAGTATCCCAGCTTCAAAACATACCTGACCAGCATATGCTGGTTTTTTCAACAGGGTGGGTTAAATACACCTTACAATTTTGTAATGTTTCAATTATTGGAGTACTGGCTAAAAATACCCTCAAAAAGCTTTCCAACCACATTATTCTCATCTGCAATTACCATATAAATGTAACAAACGTGATAAGGAAGCCAGCATATAAAAAAGGCCAAAACCACAGCGATGACCTGAAAACCCTGGACTGCTTTTTCCTTTTAAGTTATTTGACTCATACTGCAAAAGCTATATATGAAGACACAATGATTAGGAAGGGGATGAGAAAGCCCAGCATAAATGCAAATATGACCAGAAGTTTCAGGGTTTTTATGTTGATGGTAACCTCAAAGGTTATTAAGGCAAAATGAAGACTGCAACGAGTGGATAAAATCCACACAATCGTACAAATGATCCTGGCTTTGGGTAGAGTTCTATTGTTTTTAGCCCACACAATCACCAATGTGCACAGGCATCGGTCCAGACTGATTACAGTCAGAAAAAAAATGCTTGCAAACATAATTAGCTGCATCACATAGCAAAGAAACCTGCAAATGAAATCGTTGATGTGGTGTTGTGTGATGTTTAGGACTGGGGAAAAGATGAAGGAGAAGTCTGCAAACACCAAGTGGAGAAACCAAATGGAGTTGACCGACGTCTTCATTTTATAAGCAGTCACAAGTATGACAAGCCCATTTCCAATGAGACCCAGTATAAAGATGGCAACGTAAAGGCATGCACACAAGGGCAGAAGTGTGTTAGAAATATGGTTCATGATTTTGATAATAGTTTCCACATCTCCCAAGCACACTATACAAAGAGAGAAAATGCAGCGAACGCACAAACTACCAAAAATACATGGACTTATAGCTACTTCAACACAAGGTTGGATAGTAGTGGATACACTACACAAGATTGGATACAGTCATTAAAAATTTAAATATCACACTGAAAATATTGGATATGTAAATAATAATAATAATAATTTAAATAATTTTTTTAAATCTCACAAAGTGATGCTCCCACTAGACAGCATTTTCACATTTATGCTGTAATTAATTGCTAAATGTTGAGTGGTGTTTAAGGAATATTGCAGATCGATTCTTACTGATTTCTTGAGGTTTGTTTTTAATCCACAGTAGCATATTTGCATGTTCCTTCCTAACTCCAGCATTCATGAGGTGCATCTGAACGAGACGAGTGTTTCTGTGCAACCTTCTTTTTCCATGTCCAGCTTTAGCTTTTATACACCAGCCAAGCTTTACATCTCTATAGACTGATTTGTTGTTGTTTACTGATAAGGGCCTAAAATGTGGCGTCATCAGCAAACTTGATGTTACTGCAACTATCAGGCATCATCACAGGGGGAAGTGGGCATCCGCCTGCAGCATATAGTTGAGAAACCAGTGTTGTGGTGGTTTCTGTCCCATGATGCATATTTTAAAGAAGAAATTAAACCAGTGGTTTAGTGGTGTAGCCTACTTAGTATCTTACGACAGCTACTTTGAAACATGGTTTCATAAGCAGCAGCCATATCACCCTGTAGCCCAAGACTGGTTGCCCACTGAAGCTAAGCAGGGCTGAGCCTGGTCAGTAGCAGGATGGGAGACCTCCTGAGAAAACGAGGTTGCTGCTGGAAGAGGTGTGGTAGGTGTGACGGGGACACTATACAGTAAAAAGCACCATCCTCTGGATGATACGTTAAACTGAGGCCCTTACTCTCTGTGGTCATTAAAAATCCCAGGATGTCTTTCAAAAAAGAGTAGGGGTATAACCCCGGCATCCACTAAATTTGCCCATTGAGGAGATTCCCCGCTTTCATGTAAAAGCACTTTGAGTACCCAGAAGAGCGCTATATAAATGTACGTAACTAATTCATTATTAATCATAACATGTTCAATATTTTTATTATTTATAGTTTGATATATTGATGTAATGATGTTCAATCGCAGCATCCAATGGTCTTATATTTAGTAATTTTTACTTTGTGTATATCAGTTCACTCATTCGAAGTAAAGGCCCGTTCACGCCATGTAAGATAACTAAAATGATAAGCTGCCAACTCTCATGAATTTAGTGTGAGACTCATGCAATTGATTTTTCTCATGCC